AAAACGAAAATTCAAAATTTAACACATGATATTAATTCTAATGCCAGTTTCAAGCAAATTTGCTGTAGACTAACCATATATGCTTTGTGGAAATTAATGTTTCCACAATTGCAAGTAAACGCATTGTCTTCCTGTCTTGAATTTACATCTGAATATACTCAATGTTGTAGATTGTTAATGACGCGTTTCTATGCTAGGAAATGTGCGTAATTCTCAAATCTACATTCATCTCTTAAATTAAATTCATTTAACATTGATTTACTTACATTTGTACGAGGTAGAGTCACGCTGCAACTGCATTATGGTTGTAGCACGAATGGGTCGGCTCGACCGGGATAGAACCACGCCCTCACAGAACAAAGGCGAAAAATAGCGGATTAGTACTGCTGTTTCGTATGGTTAGTGTAGAGAACCGGAAACCATTTTTACTGGAGGGGAGGCATTCCATCTTAGTCATCAGGGATGACAGCGCATCAGCGTTTTGATTCTTAATTGAGGATAGATGTAGATGTTTATGGGCCCCATCATCCACTTACCATCAAGTGGACTGTGCTGGTTTGTCTCCCACCTAATATATAAAAATTAACGTTTGTTTGTTGGTATTTTATGCGCCGCCATACCGTCTACCAAATTGCGGTTCAACATTTTCAAAGTATTGCTTGCACTTGCGCGAAGGTTATAGGCATAGTACATTTAAAGAAAATTTTATTTAAAAGTTATATTCCATTCCTAATTAAATAATTTAACTATTCCAAATTTAAAATGATATTTCCACAATTCTTTCTTCTGCGACAACAACGCGCCGGGTACCGGTTAGTATTCTATAAAAAAAAAATCTAAAATATCTCTAATAATGTAGAAATATAGAAATTTAATAATAAAGTATAATATAATATTGTGGTTGTTGTCAAAAACCCAGGACAACTGCTCACGTGTTTGACACTCCTCTAAAATTCATCTCCAGACACCTCAGATATTTTCTAACCGCAATTTATGTGCCTGTATTTCACTTGCTTACGAAAAAGGAAAATATCTCGAGGAAACCTTCATTTTCGTCTTTTTAGATTTCTCGTACAGAAAGTATTTCAAATATATTGAAGTTCTTCAGTTTGCAATCACAATAAAGAGAGGCGGCTTGTGCCTAACAGCGAAAGGCATTTAAAAGGCTGTTACAATAAAATTTTATTTTAAAATAAATTTCATATTACGGAGTAATTGCTAGTAATGGTTCAATCATTTTCTATGTATTACATAATTAATTTATTTTTAATATTGTTTTCGTTTTATTTTTAAAAAACGTTACCCCCACACTAGGATTTTCTCCTGTATCGTGGAGGCAGTTTACAAACACAAATTGCACAAGGACAAACATCCAGACCCGGAACAATTATTTGTAGGCCATACAAATACTTGTTCCGTGCGGGATTCGAACCCGCGCCCCCCAGCGCAGCAACTCATTGCTAAGCCACTACGCTACGGAGCCGTCAAGCCGTTTGTATTTTATTTTTAAAAAACGTTACCCCCACACTAGGGTTTTCTCCTGTATCGTGGAGGCAGTTTACAAACACAAATTGCACAAGGACAAACATCCAGACCCGGAACAATTATTTGTACGCCATACAAATACTTGTTCCGTGCGGGATTCGAACCCGTGCCCCCCAGCGCAGCAACTCATTGCTAAGCCACTACGCCACGGAGCCGTCAAGCCGTTTGTATATTAATATGTTTTCTTTGGAACACGAGGCTGTATTATTATTCTAAATTGTGTAATATACGAGTGTATTACATATAATGTTTAAAAATTACGTATCACACTGTTGGTATGCGATGAATTCCTTAACTACTCGTACTGAACTGATTTCAATGAAATTTACTGTGTATGCAGTTTGGTCCAAGGATAATATAGTTTTATCCCGATAAGTAACCCTCAATATTTTTATTACGAATTTAAGGATTTTTTATAGGACAAATGATCGGAGGGGGCAGGACAATGTCTGCCTCGACGGAATATATATATGTATATATAACGTAAAACGTGAAAGTCTTCGTCACTATTTACCCCCCGGTGGGATTATAATCAAACACTGGTCAAAAAAGTCTACTTAACAACACAATACCGAAAGTTCGGTTGTATAGTCTCATGAGGTTATCTTCTCAAATAAATACGCTCTATACTGTTAGGAACGGTAGAATTTGCAACTAAATAGGAGCTTCGAAGTTCGATATAATTAGCATTCAAATTTTGTTTAGAAGTACATACCAACTGCAAGCACTGTTAAGTAAGGCATAAGTTCCAATTATGAAGGAATTTCACCTGGAAATGCATTCATTTTCCTCTTTTTTATATGTGTTGAATTCAATTTAAGTCATAAATTCAAAGTTGAGTAATTTAGAGTTAAGTTGAAAAAATGTTTCTAATTAAATTAATGTACAATGTTTTTCTTAAAATAAGTTTTTGTTTCAGCTTCTTACATGCACTCGTAGGCGTTCATGGATGGATACCTTTGTTTCTAAAATATTAAAATATTTATATTTATTAAAACTCGTAAATAGAAGATTATGTGATTTTTTATAATATTCACGCGAATTATACTATAAAAATTATAGATTCAGAAGAACTAGTTTTATATAATGTGTAGTGTAATATAATGGATTATTTTACGTTTGATCATCATCATCATGATAACAGCCCTTCACAAGTCTACCGTAGCAATTGTCGAGGCTCAATTCTGCCAATATGAGGACATAAAGTGTTACTGTAGTATAAATATATAACAGGATGAGATATTATAAAACGGTCGTAAAACGATATAGCTCCTTTTACATTTTCTTAATAAAAGAAAATTACTGGACTAAAATTACATTTTTCGATTTTTATGTAATGAAACATTACACCAACACGCAGTGTATCTTGCCTACTAAGGAATGAAGCGACGGATAAGTGCCGGCATATCCATTCGGAAATACATCATTACCGTGAAAAGGGGCATCATTACATGTGCGAGGGTACCGCGTATCGGTATATTATCACTCACTAACCCTTCTGTCCAACGTGTTGAGTAGAGAGAAGAGGCAAATCTTTTAAATTATGCATACCAAATGACCCATCCATAAAATGGCCTGTATCCTACAGTGGGGTGTATAAACGCTTAAAAATAACAAATAGTAAAATTTCAAAATGTTGACGGTTCCGTGGCGCAGTGGCTTAGTAATGAATTGCTACGCTGGGGCTGCGGGTTCGAATCCCGCACAGAACAAGCATTTGTATGGCCTACGAATAATTGTTCCGGGTCTGGATGTTTGTCCTTGTGCAATTTATGTTTGTAAGCTGCCTCCACGATACAGGAGAAAATCCTAGTGTGGGGGTAAGGTTTTAAAAAAAAATGTTTGTACAACCGACTTCAATATAAGTTATTAAGGATAACTAAAAAACTACTGGTCAGACCTTGATCAAATTTATATAGGGCCACATGAGAAGCACCAGCTTTCAAATAGAAATAATCATCAAAATCAGTCCACAGTTATGAGGAAACACACATAAAAAATACAGTTGAATTGCGTATTTCTTCTTTTTTGAAGTCGGTTAAAAAAGAAAGCGTAATGATATAGTTTACAAAGGTTACTTGTATCACCTACCTTTTCTTCAAATCCTGTGCAGCAAATAGGAAGAGAAAAACTATGGCTTTCTTTGTTTGAAGTTTTTCGGATGGACCATTAGCTCTACTTTCACTTGATATAGCCACACTGCAGCTACATTATGATTGTAGCACAAATAGGTCGGGTCGACCAGGGAAGGACCACGCTTTCACAAAATACCAGCGTAAATTGCAACTCAGTGTTTTTATAGTGAGTATAGAAAACCGAAGACCCTTTTTCTAGAAACGAGATATTCCATCACTGTCCTCAGGTTTACAACGCATTTGCATTTTGATTCTTAATCGTGGATAGATGTAGATGTCTAAGGGCTACAGCACCCACTTTGTCGGCCTTATTTTTTTTAAAGAAAAGTTCGAATAGCTATTAATAATAAAAATTACTTGTGATGCGCATACATTATCCTATTCCATCCTGCGGGTATCGTAAGAGATGACTATGGGATATGCCATTAAGATTTTGTGATTTCACATAGAAGGTGGCATAACTACCACGTTTCCAGAGGTAAATAACACAGACTGGCGACGGGCAGTAGCGTCAAACATTTGAAACGTCTAATACTAAGAGCGCCAATGCGTTATTCCCAGGAGAGGATCATCACGGACTAATAATGAAAACGAGTGACTTTAATAAAATTATAATCATCTTAATATTGAGAATTGCCCATTTTAGAAGAACCAGCGGTCGTGATGATCACGCTAACGCTTACACAACTCTATTGGCATATAACTCCACTGCGTGACGTGGGTAACTGATACACCGTCGAAAATAATAAAATTAAAACGACCCGGCGTACAACGCACGTACGGAAACGAGGCTGGTTTCCGTTTATGGATTAATATAAAATTTGCTGCCGTTGGCTTTTTACAGACACGGTCGTCGGATGGCGTAATTGAATATGAACTTTTTGAAAGAATAATAAACATATTGGCTATACGAAAAAGAGAAATAATCAATTATATTATAAATTTGTTATGATGTATTCTTAAACTTAGTGAATACTACACATTGAGTAAAACGTTTCACGGTGAAACCCATAAAATAAGTCATATTTACCTAGCTCATAGTTGGTATTAAACTAAAACATTTATTATCATATTCATGAAATTCATTGTATTATCATTCACCATGTCCTTTCTCTTTCTCTTCCTTCATAGTTAGAGGCTATAAGACAAACTCGCTCTAATAAAATAATCTAATGCTATCATCAACTCGCCCAAACCAAACATGCCAATTATGGGAAAAGACCAGTTTCAAAAAGAATTAATTTTATAATAATACAAGTACACATTCTCTTATTCTTATTTGCTAATGGTAGTTGATAAAAGGAACTAATTATTACTTACTTATTTATTTCAAAACTGTGTTTATTACCTGAAAGAAATACAAAAGATTTAAAAAATTTACAAAGGATATTATAAAAATAAAAACATTAATACACAAATACATTGGGCTGTATGCAGCAACGAAAAGCATCCAACTCATCAGAATACTGTCTTGTGTTTTCACAGTCCCAACGCTGTTAAACACCTCATTTACCAAACATGTTTCTATTATAATAAATAACTAAAAGAATTTATAAAGCAATAATATCAGAACAAAATCTAATTAAATTACGTTACGAATAAAGAAAATATTTAATTAAAATATAGAATGACAAGGAATGAAAAAAATCAGGACTGGGAAATTGTGACAAGATAAACTGGAAGACAATTAGAAAATTCTCTGAGGTCTCGAAGTGGCTAATATACTTTTTTGTTATCACAAAAAAATAATGTCAAGAGTTATCATTAAGCAGTTATTATGTCCGGCTTTATCTCTGTGAAAGTTATTTTTTTATTTTAAACGAGCACACAGTCCACCTGATTGTAAGTGGTTGCTGTGATCCATAGACATCCAAATAATATGTATATCCTCAATAAAGAATCAAAATGCAGATGCGTTGTCACCCGTGAGGACTAAGATGAAATGACTCTTTTCCAGTAAAAAGGGTCTCCGGTTAATTAAGTAAAAGTCTATAATTCTTATTTTCAATTATATTTGGAGTAAAGGCTGCAAAAAGGCGGAGTTCAAAAGTGATCTGCTGACGTCAATGCTTTTAATCTGAGACTGTAGCCTCAGAGGTGGCTTTTGTAGCTGCGTGCTCATGATGTTGCTGTGTGGGCTGACTAGACGTCGGCCTAGAGCTTGCTAAACGGAAAAACATAACTGGACTTGTACGGACGCTACCCTTTGATTAAGATGCGCTTTTGGCCGTGAAAGGTAAACGGCAGATCTCCCGCCGGGCAAGGTGATCGGCCCAGGAAGCAGCCAACGCTGCATGTGTTATTTTGCAGCTGTTATACTGTATATACTGTGCGTTAACTTCAGAACTTTAATAGCGCGATTTAGGCTTAGTGCCTTTCGCTTACTGCGCGACGACAGCCCCACCACATACTATACAGACTAGCGTTTTCATTACATAACATTTGTCAGTAAATTTATTTTTATTCACTAACTTATAATATATATATATTCTTATCTATTGTAAAAATGGGCTGCGCGTAGCCTCAGCTACGTTATATGACAACAGGAATCATGACTATTGACAGTCGCAACCAGAGAAATCATGACATAAACTAGTGATAATACCTGGTAATGGTTAGAAATGTTTTTTTTAATAGAAATAAGGCGACAAAAAATACACAAACACAAAAACACAGCCCACCCGATGGTAAGTAGATATTGTAGCATACAGACACCTGGAAAAGTTTATCATCGATTAAGAGTCAATGGCGATTTCAGTCCTAAGGACTTAAGGACTGAACGCCTCGTAACCAGTAAACGGGATTCTTAGATTCCATACAACCACCATACGAAGCATTATGGAAATATTTCATAATACGATTGCAGCGTGGCTCTATCACGTCAAGTAGTTGGTGCTTACTGTCCTTGCCGCTATTCTACCGACTTCAAAAATGAGGACGTACCCAATTCGTCTGTATGTTTTTTATGTCTTACTTCATAACTTTTTTCTAGGTAAACCGATTTCGGTGATCCTTTTTTTCTTGAAAGCTGGTGCTTTTCATGTGGTCCTATATAATGTTGATCAAGGTCTGACTAATATTTTTTTAAGTTATCTTTAATAATTTATATTCAAGTCGGTTGTACAAAATTTTTAATCACTTGTAGATTTTGATATGATAAAAACGAAAATGTGAAAAAGATCGCCTAGTATCTATTTTGTATTTTGTGTGTACAATACGGTACGTACGGGTGGCGTGCACTGCGTTTTATAGCCGAGCCATGTATCAAAGTTTCGCGAGCGTTCGGAATATCTCCAAAAGCCGGGTCTCCTCTGCAGACAATACCGAGCCCGCTAGCATGGTACAAATTTAACAATTTTGTGGTGAATTAACTCACACGCTTCTTTTGTTGAACCACTGTAATACATGATATATACATTCATAGACCTATATATGTATGTTAAGTTTCAAAGTAGTTTTACTTTCTACTTATATATGACATGATTTAATAAATGTATTGTAGATTTAAATTCAATTTTAACGAAAAATTATGCATAACATTTACGTTATTACCATGACATATTATATGATACAGTCATTTTTTTTTATAGGATAAGGGTGACAAACGAGCACACAGTCCACCTGATGGTAAGTGGTTGCTGCGGCCCAAAGACATCTACATTTATCCTCTGTTACAAATCAAAATGTAGATGCGTTGTCACCCGTGAGGACTAAGATGGAATGCCTCATTTCCAGTAAAAAGGGCCTCCGGCCACCTGCACTCACCAAGCGAAACGCAGAGGTAAAGCTCTACTTCACGCTGGTTTTCTGTGAGGTCGTGGTACTACCCCGGTTCGAGCCGGCCCATCCGTGCGACAGCAAAAGCTGCCGCGTGGCTCTACCACTGTCGAAAGTAGAGTCGAAAGTAAAGTAGAGTCATTTACAAGTAATTTACAACTACTAAACATAGGCCTCCCCCAAGGAATGAGACACATACGGACCTGAGCTACCTGAATCCATTGACTTTCTGCATCTCTTACAAGATCGTCACCTGATAATAAGTACCCTTTTTTTTAAATAAAAATATCTTAAGGTTTTGTTCTTTAGAAACCCATACAGTTCACTGCTGAACACAGGATTTTACCAAATTAGGAAAGATTTCCATATCTGATGTACCTATGTTTCATCTTTAATACCGCTTCATTGAAAATATATAGAAACTGCTGTGTATCGTATGGTGAGTGTATGGTGCTTTCCATCTCAGTCTTTGGCGGTGACAACCCATTTGCATTTCGATTCTTAATCGAAGATAGCCGTAGATGTCTATGGGCCATAGCATCTACTTAACTTTCACATTTTTACTTTCAGATTAACTGTGGTTTGACAAGTCTATTCTATAAAAAATATTTAACACCTGGATCATAATAAATAAACAATGTTACTTAAAATACGCATATCAACCAAACTAATCACTATTAGACTACACACACTAAATATTATCACGCGTCTAGTCACTGCAAGCCGCACACGGCCGCCCCACCTGGCGGTGTTTATTTCACGTACATACCATCGGGTGACGAGCCAGCTCGAACGCAATTGGATGGCGTTCAAAATTACCAAATTTTGGCATAAACACATGATATAGCTGCAAAGTGGCTCTACCACGTATAAAATATAATAATCTAGTCATAAATCCTCGTCGCATTATAGTCCTTATAATATTGTGAAAGACTAACATTTCTGAAGAACGAGACTCGTATGTTGGATTGGATGATGGATATACTTAAGTAGAAAATTTATGATAAGTAAAATATATCTAATTTATAGTGAAGCAACGTACCGTTTCAAATTTGATATTTACTAACCCTTTCTTTCTATTTTATAAAATTCAGGTTGAACAAGTTACTTCACCGTATTGTTAAAATAGGTAAACTTAACGCATATAATGAGCTCAAGTATTTTTACGTACATAACCGAGGCAACCCACTTAAGCATATCTTACGGTTTATAAAAATCTATCGTAACGTATTTTTTCAAACAAAACCTTATACTTATAATATCATCCAGATCGTGTTTCGGTCACACACAGTCACACCGTTTAAAGTTCGCTCACACAGAGTTACACAGTTTCAAGTTCGGTCACCCACAGTCCATAAAAACAATATCCTTCAGCCCGTATCTGGGCAGAACAGTACCATAGTGCTCGAGTGTATGTGTAAGCATAGATGCTATTTTATTATTCTATTCTCTCACTCTCATATACCGATGGGACGGTAATCCGACATGACCGGAAAGAGATCAGTGTCCGGAACATGGACATCTGCAGACAACTTCCAACAATGAAGACTCAGATGCGTTGTTACCTCTGAGAACAACTGCACAGCTTGTTTTGATATTAGCCCTCCATACCTTTCAGAGCGCGAGACGGCTATGCAGGTACTGCTATTTCATTTGGCAGAAAAATAGATAAGAGGGCAGTACCTACTTATATGGACGTCTAGGCGGAAAATGTACCACCTAATGTGACTGAAGACCTGAAAGAAGTTGAAATCAAAGATATTTTATATTTAATCACAACATGTTTGTGGTAAGCTGATCACCAAATAACTCCCTCCCTGAAAAAATTATACTATTTCCTATTAATCATTGTCTCCTTCCATCTCCTTCCACGTGGTAGAGCCATGCTGCAGCTATATTAGTAGTATAGTTGTAGCACGAATGGGTCGGCTCGACTGGGGAAGCACCACGCTCTCACCGAATACCAGCGTAAAATAGCAGCTTAACGCTGCTGTGTTTCGTATGGTGATTGTAGAGAACCGGAGACCCTTTTTACTGGAAATGAGGCAGTCCATCTTAGTCCACAAGGGTGATAACGCATCTGCATTTTGATTAGTAATAGAGGATAGATGTAGATGTCTACGGGCCGCAGCAACCACTTACCATCAGGTGGACTGCGTGCTCATTTGTCACCCTTTTCCTATAAAAGAAATCTTACATGTAAAACAAATTCATTCAATATTTGAAGAGGCGTACTAAAGCAGGAGCCGGGTTACATCCACGCTGGTAGCAATGATATAGTTAATTGCAATTTTAAGTAATGATTTAGTTTGCACTCGGCGATAAGCGAAACTTCGTAAGAATATCTCGCGATGTCTGAGAAAAAAAAAATATTTCGAAGACACATTTTGAAACCCGCCTACACGCATCGAGGTAGCGCGGCGGACATTTTCTTGCCCTAAAAACCCTCTCTGAAAAAAAGAGGCCTGTACCCAGTAGTAGGATGTATATAAGTTTTTACTTAACTTAATTCGTAAGGAAATTATACATATTATATAAGGTTACTGTAACTTCGTGAATTTAGTGAAAGAAACTTAGATTCTCATAAATTCTTTAAGAAATCAGGCATAACTACATAAACAGGAGAGCATTTAGGAAAGTTTGATCATGTACGTCTGATTCCGAGAAGAGATTTCCTTCGTCAATTAGTTCATCGCGCATAGTTGGTAACTACCAACTTCCCAACTAAATCTGCTGCAACAACTTCAATATATTTGGCAAAGTTTGTGCGGAAGCACTAACTATTGCATGTATTGTACTTACGAGTTCGGTAAGACCCATTTTTCTTATTGGTGCACAAACTACAAATAGGGAGAGGTTTTAGGTTATAGAAATTTTTTTTGGATAATTAGAATTAAATTTGCATACAATTACCTCTACTGGTCAATGAAATTCAATATACCACCATAACATAAATAGATTCTTTACTTTAATCAAATGCTATATAGCTTAACTCCTGTTCATATCTCTACTGTTTAACACATTCTTGTCACGTTTAGGTTTTCATCACATTTAGGTGGAAAATTATATATTTTTTTAATTTTTTTTATCCATCATTTATATAAAACAAATCTTGTGTTTATGCTTCATTGATTTATATTGTTAATTTAATAAGAAAAATGTCGACAAAGTTATTTGTGCGGCTAGTTCTTTTTTTGTGAATATCGAAAGTTGAAATTTTGAGATTTTATCTTTTTTTTTTACACTTTGATGCCAAATTTCAAGTTTCTAAGTGACCTAGAATTGGGTTAGGTTTTTGATGTAACAGTCGGTGAGTGTTAAAAATGCCTCTTTTCTTTTCTTAATAAATGAGATTCCAGATATGCGACGAAACCTTATTATAAATGCAAAATTACAAGTATGTAGATCTAATAGTATTTTTATTTATGGGGGTGTCTGAAAGTAGCTCGAAATGGTTCGTGTATATATTACACGATGTCATGCAGTTATGGACAGATTATGCCTCCACGATATAGGATAAATTCCTAAATGTTGTAGCTTACGTAACAAAAAAACTATTTTATAAAATTAATCCTAATTTCATATTCAGGATGTACTAACTTCGTATTTTGAAACTGATATTTCATAAAAATATTAAATCTTTAAGAGCAAACAAAAAATATTTTTTTATTCCTTTGACTTGAGACATAAACGATTTACGCTGCGTCGAACCCTATAAAAGTTTTAATCAATGTAAATCCAGTTGACAACGCTTAGAAGAGAGGTCCTTTATATTTTTTGAAGTCTCTAATTTTATTTATAAAGATAGCACATTTAATATTTATCTCATGATCAGTTTACAAAAGTCATAGGTCTCTTCCTTTGTAGGGAGGATTTGCCTCAACCCGCAGGCATGGTAGACGGACAGACACAGCTTTGGAGGAGGGCACAGAAAGCGTGGTATTTTGTTTTTCCTAAAGGGAATAGGAACAGAAAGAAGTATTTATATTTATTCATATTAATCATTTCATTCATTATCTCTGACAACTTTTTAAATATTTCAGTGTGATCCGAAATACTTTAAATGTATAAGTATGTAACGTCCCCATAACGAATTCTGATAAAGTTTCGAAAGTTTCGAAAAATAATGTGTGAATTTCTACTGTGTGTGAAAAACGAGGCAAGCTCAATTTACAGGTAAAAATAAAACCCGCTACTTCATGGAATTAAACCTATCTTTTTCTGTTTGTGCATCCTAACTCTATACATACTAAGAGCAACGAAAATAATTTTCTGATATGATAACTATCTCGAATAAATTTGGTGTAATTTAAATCGAATTTAATTGTTTTATAATTTCCTTTCATCTGTTTATTCTATATCACTATATGGATTGGCTCGACCGAGGTAGGACCACGCTCTCACAGAATAGCAGCGTAAAATAGCAGCTTCATGCTGTTGTGTTTCGTATGGTGAGTGGAGAGAACCGGAACCTTTTTACTGGAAAAGAGGCTTTCCATCTTAGTCCTCATGGGTGACGACGCATCTGCATTTTGATTCTTCATTGAGGATAAATGTAGATGTCTATGTTCCACAGCATCACTTACCATCAGGTGGACTGTGTTCGTTTGTCACTCTATTCTATAAAAACAAATGTATATTCTTTAAATATTATAATTTACTCAGACTTTAAACAAATACGATTTGAAAAAATAACTTACGCTGAAAAAAGCCGATTGATACCTGAAAGGAAACAAAAATGAATATTATTTTAGACTTTAAAATCGATACATTATATAATTTAATAACAATTCATAAAACAAAAAATAAGTATATTACTTTTATGTTATCATTATAAAATGACACACCTTAGGTTGGTATCGTTAAAGAAGCTCTTAAACCCACGTTCGTAAAACTTACGAGATCGAAGGTGAGGTAGTATCAAATGTAAGTTACGTTTTTGTCATAGAATATAGGTGACACATTTGTCAACTATATTCTATGCTAACTAGCAACTTTAGGCACCTGTAGACTTAACGTTGGCAAAAAATTACTTTGCGTACATCCGCTCGATATATAGTCGATATCGAGCGGGGATGTACGCAGTAAGTAGATATGTAAATAATTTTTTGCCAACTTTAATATAGTGGACTTCCGCAAAGTAACGCCTGATTCTATTAATCACCTGTAGACTGTCTACTGATAGTAGATGGATACTTTGGCATATAGACGTCTAAATCTATTCTCGATTAAGAACCAAAATTCAAATGCGTTAAGGTGTTATTTTACGCTGGTATTCTGTGAGAGCGTGGTCTTTCCCCGGTCAGGCTGATCCATACGCGCTACAGTAATAATTCATGTTTCTTTGTTAGAAATCTTTTAAAATTCTTTTTAGAAGATTTTAGTAAGATTAAAATGTGTATTGCGTGATCATAACAGAAGGGTAAGTAAAATCTATTTGAAACCAAAAAAATAATAATTTAAAAATGTTCACTGTTCATTTAGTTTATCAAAACAAACTTTATTCTTAAAAAATAAACTGGTAAACACACAAAGATAAACTTTTAAACTTTATCTTTGAATTTTAAAACCCTCTTCTCGCAAGAGAAAACAGAAATTCTAAAGACAACAGAAAAGCTAAGAAAGGCAAGTGCCATCAGCAAAGTATAATTTGAGTCGTTCCATCAAAATTACTGACTAAGCGCGCTGAGTATAATCTTTGCGGAACTTCAAATTAGTCGCGCTGACGCGAAATATCCTTTGAGACTGTGTAGAAGACAAAACTTTTATGCGCATTCACCTTGCAACCTATCTTTGACTTATCGTTTTACTCGTAAAGTACACCTTGGAAATATAAAACTGGCTAGTTATTGCAAAGAATAATATGCAAAGCATACGAGTATCTATAGCATGCATACTTTACTCCACACAAAGTGAACTAAGAATGTGAAAGATTAACAGAAAAGCGTCAAACAAAATGTGTGCAATTTAAAAATACATTAGGTACTTTGTTATTTGTATTTGAACTGTCGCGCTTACATTTTTTTTTTCACATTTTATTTCACAAGGAAATATATAAATACTTACGACATTTTTTGAACTTAATTAATTGATTAGTTACATGATTCTTACCGTGTAGTGGTGGTGTAAGAATATTATTATCCATCCATAATCCATATCATCCCGTGGGTGTCGTAAGAGGTGACAGAGGGAAGCAAATCAGGAGATCCGCAGCCGGCGTCTTCCTAATAAGTTTAAAAATAAATGAACTGCGTTTGCCAACCCGCTTGCCAAGCGTGTATCCCCCTTATGAGACAATCTATGGGGGCGGCCTTTGTTCATCAGTGGACTTTAATAGGCCGGTAAATGTGTAACGTGTTTGATTACAATTTGAAAAATAGGTCGGCAATAAACAAAACAGTAAAATGCTTATCTCAAGTAAGTTTACTGTAGAAAGGTTTTTTATAATGCAATTTTCTATAGTAGTTTTCGTAAGGTGTAAAAATACAATTTTCAACACTGTACTATAAATTATATGAAACAATGCGTTAGCCGCCGCAAATGCAATACCGTATGGTAACGGCGTGAGATACATCACCCTAATCCACTTCACGAGTGTCAAGAATCAAGTCACGAATCCAGAATCAAGTCATGAGTCCGTTGTAAGATGGTTATATCTATATATATCTTCCTATATAACCATCTTACGCCGGACGGAAAGTACACAAACCCATATCGGACGGCAGCGACCAAGGTGCTAGGAGATTGGCACTGAGACTTTCAATCCGGCTGCCAAACGCGACAGAGCTATTATGCTATTATTTTATAGCGAGATAATCTTTACATATTATAAACACAAACTACTAAATATAACAATAAAACACAATGATGATATAAATACAATGCCAATACAGTCCATTAACGTAAACACACTTTTCACGTTATAGTAAGGAGATGGTAGGGCTCAAAGATACCGACATCTGTCATCATCATCATCATTACAGCCCTTCACAAGTCCACTGCTGAACATAGGCCTCCCCCAAAGAATGCCACAAAGCACGGTCCTGAGCCACTTGCATCCATCGACTTCCTGCATATCTTACCAGGTCGTCACTCCATCTAGTGGGGGGACACCCTACACTTCGCCTGCCGGTACGAGGCTGCCACTCGAGAACCTTTCTTCCCCATCGGTTGTCGGTTCTTCGAGCTATATGGCCGGCCCATTGCCACTTCAGCTTACTAATCCGTTGGGCTATGTCGATCACTCTAGTTCTACTGCGGATATCCTCATTTCTGAGTTTATCACGCAGAGAAACTCCGAGCATAGCCCTCTCCATAGCTCGCTGAGCGACCTTGAGCTTCCTCATCCGGCCAGCAGTGAAGGACCACGTCTCAGTTCCGTATGTCATCACTGGCAACACGCACTGGGTGTACAGTCTCGTTTTCAAGTTTTGAGGTATACCTGACAAGAAGATGTGCCGTAATTTCCCGAACGCTGCCCAACCGAGTTGAATCCGTCGATTGACCTCTCGGTCGAAGTTGGACTTACCTAGTCGGACTATTTGTCCCAGGTAAACATACTCATCAACAACTTCGAGCTTAGTGTTCCCAACAACTACCGGCATAGGTGTGACATGGACATTAAACATGATCTTTGTTTTGTCCATGTTCATCTTAAGACCTATCCGTTGGGAAACACTATTGAGGTCATTGAGCATAGTGCTTAGGTCCTCCAGCAATTCTGCCATAAGGACTATATCGTCGGCAAATCGAAGGTGAGTGATGTACTCGCCATTGATGTTGATACCGTATCCTTTCCAGTCCAGAAGCTTGAAAACATCTTCCAATGCAGCGGTGAAGAGTTTCGGGGATATGACGTCACCCTGTCTTACACCTCTCTGCAATTGGATAGGTTTCGTACTCTGGTTCTGTACTCGGATAGCCATCGTAGCCCTACTGTACAAGCACTTCAACACTTCGATATACCGACAGTCAACTTGGCATCGCTGAAGGGACTGCAACACTGCCCAAATTTCGACGGAATCAAAGGCTTTCTCATAGTCCACATACGCCAGACATAGTGGCAAATTGTACTCCTCGGACTTCTGCACAATTTGCCGAAGGGTATGTATGTGGTCTATGGTGCTAAAGCCTTTTCGGAAACCGGCTTGTTCGGGAGGCTGAAAGTCGTCAAGTCTGCGCGCGAGACGATTCGTAATGACTCTCGAAAACAGCACGTAGACGCGGCTTAGAAGGGAAATCGGTCTGTAGTTCTTCAAGAGAGCGTTGTCGTCTTTCTTGAAAAACAAGACCACCGCACTTCTGCTCTACGCCTCCGGTGTAATGCCACCATGGAGGACGGAATTAAAGAGCTTCTGAAGGACTTCAAGTACCGGTTTTCCACCCGCTTTCAGAAGCTCCGCTGTAATTCCATCCTCGCCTGGGGCCTTGCCGTTTTTAAGGTGCTGGAGAGTCATTCTAATCTCGCTCAGACTGACGTCCGGGATATCATCGGAATAATGTCGGATAAGACTCGCTCTTGGATCGTTACTCACACTTGCGTGCGGCTCCAACGATGACGTGTACAGCTGCCCATAGAACCTCTCAATCTCACTCAAAATCTCAGGTGCCCCGGAAACGATGCTGCCACATTCTGTCTTCAGCTTTGACAGTTGGCGCTTTCTGGCAGACAGATCTCTGGCAAAGACTTTGGAGCCTTGGTTCCGCTCGATCGCTTCTTCAATACGAGCTGTATTGAATTTGCGTAAGTCCCGCCGCATGCATTTGGAGATCTGTCTGTTCAGTTGCCTGTATGCTGTTAAATCTGTTGAAGAATGTAGCTTCATCTCCCGTCTAACAGCCATGAGATTAAGAGTGTGATCGGAGAGTTTTTGTGTTCTTCTGCGGCGGGTCTTGCAGAACTTAGCTCCGACCGCATGGATAGTTTCCACGAGCTTGTCATTCAAATCGTCCACTTCATTGCAGTCTTCTAGGCACTGAAAACGGTTTTGTAACTCGAGCTGAAAGGTTTCGGGACCTTGGATTAGAGCACGAGGGGGACGGAGCGTTGACTTCATTAGACGAGACCTCTCCAACTTAACGTTTAGGTTCAGTGTGCCTCTAACCATTCGGTGATCGCTGCCGGTTTTCACCCTCGCGATCACTGAGACATCACTGAACAGTTGTCGTCTGGTCGTCATAATGAAGTCAATCTCATTTTTTGTCGAACCGTCGGGGCTCGACCAGGTCCACTTCCTGTGGGGCCGCTTCTGGAAGAAAGAGTTCATCATAAAGAGTCCCTCTTTCTCCATGAAGTCAGCCAACTGCTGGCCCCTTGGGTTCCGTTGCCCTATTCCAAATTTCCCTACTTTCAGCTCACCGTTCTCTCTTATGCCTAGTTTTGCATTGAAGTCTCCCATTAACACCGTATATTGGGTTTTGGAGGAATGCATGGCTCTAGAGATATCCTCATACATTTCCTCCACCTCCTGATCGGGGTGTGCCGAAGTTGGTGCGTAAACCTGTATGACCTTCAGCGAATACCGTTTGGTGATTCTGAGTATAAGGTACGCAACCCTCGTCGACACACTCTCAATCTTTACAACGTTGTTAACGATAGACTTGTGGACGATAAATCCGACACCTCCTTGGGACAGATGGTCGCCCTGCCGGTAATAGAGCAAGTTGCCGGATTCGAGGATTACCGTGTCCTCCCCCTCTCTTCGGACTTCAGATAATCCTAT